ACTTTGGCATTATATGCAGAATTGGGGAGATTTCCTCTTTACATTGAAAGGCATATTCGTATGATAAAATATTTTCTTAAGTTAAATACAAGAAAAAAGATAATTGTATATTGAGAACAATATTGTGTAGACAGATATATGATGTTGATGTGGTAAATTGTTCAACAAACTGGGCTTCAAAAGTTAAAAACATTCTTCAGTCAGCAGGATTTAATGAAGTCTGGTTATATCCCGATTCTGTTAATATAAAACTATTTGTACCTATTTTTAGGAATAGATTACGGGATATTTATATAAGTTGTTGGAATGATGGTATTCAATCTTCATCATTGTTAGATGTATATAGGGAATATAAGATCACATTTGAACAATCGTTATATATAAAATATATTGAAAATGTAAAATATAGAAATGTTTTAGCAAAAATAAGACTCTCCTCACACAAACTTAATATCGAGTTAGGAAGACATAATAATGTACCAAGGAATGAACGAAAGTGCACTTTATGTTATATGAATGATATAGAAGATGAATTTCACTTTATCCTTAAATGTCCGATATATTCTGAGTTAAGAAAGCAATACATTCCAAGATACTATTATTGCAACACAAGTATGTTTAAATTCATTTCATTAATGCAAACTGGTCGCAAGAAAGAACTGAAAAATTTAGCTATATTCTGTGATAAAGCTTTTAAATTGAGGGATAGTTTGTTATAATATACTGTTATGTAAGCTTTACTCTCTTTCTCTGTTTTTTTTTTTTCTGTTGTTTAAAAAAAAGGAAAAGTACAATTGTAACTGTTAAATGCGCATTGTATATCCATCATGTAGATTTGTAAAGTTATATGTGAATATGAAATTGTACATATATACATATATTTTTTTTTATTTATTTATTAATATTTGTATCTTCTCAAATTAACTATATCTGTTTTTCAACACATAACCAAATATAAATACCATGATAAAATGTTTTGACAAAACTAATCCTTATAATTAAGTCTAGCGTTAGTTGTTTTGGGTATTGATCTGTTTTGTGTGGGTTTTTCTTTTCTTTATATATATAAAAAAAACGTACAAAATCAGTAAATGTATTCATTTTTCATTCTATTAATATTGATCATGAATTATTAAGGGGAAGTAAATGTTAAAATACTGGATATGTAAAGTTACCTAAGTTACCCCCTTCATTTGTCGCAGTTTGCTTTTTTGTATAATGTATTGTAGCTTAAATTGATAATGTTTGGTAAAGATAGGCAAATTCTTGTGTATTATATACATGTATTCATATGCTTTTTAAGTAATTTGGTATCTCAAATTAAACATTCTCACATCACATAAACCATTATTTTGTAATTATATATATTCATGTCATGTGTCATTTATGTATTATATGATGTATTTGTATATTTAATATGGTGATGAGCTTTTTATGCTTAAACCAAGAAATAAAGTTTCTGTTCTGTTCTGTTCTGTTCTATATTGTCCGCAAAATGCGTATCATGTTATCTCTAGCTAAGTGCCGACACGATTAATCAGTAGCGTGTTGTTCACACTTATATAATTACTGTTAATTTGCAGCACGCTTCTGCTTATATTGTATCAATAAAAAACAACAGCCTGTCATTACTTATTTATATCAATAATTTATGATTTAAAATTACTCTTACAAACTTTTGATTTTGAAAAATCAAGGCTTTTTTTATTTTGCGAACAAAAATTTTGTCCGCCTATAAAGACATACAAAAACAATGCCAAAATGAAATACATATCCTTAATTACATATCAGCTGTTGCCAATTTAGTACCATCATTGTAATTCTAAAGACATTCATTTGATCCATTTGTTTCATATATTAGTTTTCAATATTTAGAAATTCCGAAAATGTGTCATATAAATATAATATAAAATTCATTGACATTCAATCATAAATTACTTTAATATTTCTCCCAATTTGCTAATTTATTATATTTTTTTATATATTAAAGTATAAATCCAATTACACGTCATTTTTATAAACTTCATCAATGCCCAAAATCATCACCAATTAGTCTACACTATATATCTATATCGTCCGCTTTTTTCCTCTTTGTCTATATTGTCAGCGTTTTCCCTATATGTTTATATTGTCCGCTTAAGGCGTCCGCGTTTTAGACAGGCCCGCTAAAATCTAACGCCTCAGCAAAACACGTACACATTCCGTATACACACGAACGTATTTTTCTTCCATCTGCAATTTCCATTTAGTTAATTTTGTATGTTATCCTCTATGTTTTTTACTTTATTTAACTTTTTATATACATTTTTACATGTGCTACTCTTACAAATATTTTAGTAAATTTTTAGTAATGTATATACATCTACTCAAGTCGAAGATAAATTATTTCACTTTTGCTACATGTATATTATACTACAATTAACTTGTCAGCTCCTTTTACGCTTTATTTCAATATATTTAAGCTGTTAGCCCCTTACAATATATACTGTACATCTCACTATATTTTAATTGTCATCTTATTGCATATATTTCTTTAATCTTTGCCTTTATGAAGCTAATAGCACTAAAGATTTGTTATGATTATGTTAGTAAATATGTTTTATTTTTTATGGCAATTGTTATTGTCGGTAATAAGCTTATTAGTTAATTTTGCTTATAATTTATAAACCGACTTAAAATAAAGTTTCTTGTAGATATCCTGTAACAGGAAAGAAGACGTCCGCGAGTGTAAATAGCAGAGCAGATTGCACACTTGCCAATTTTTTAATGACTTACCATTCCAGACGACTCCATTAGTCAGGCCCAGGCAGTCTCGAACACGTGCAACAGATACTGATTGTACGTAACTAATCAGTGTTTACAGAAATCACAATTGTGCAACACTAACTTTTAATCCTTCCTATGTCTACCCGTAAACAATATTTTGATAACTATCAAATTTATAAAAATGCAAACCATCCTGTCGACAATACATTTCTGCAAATTTTGATAATATTTTGCTTCAGTAGGTACATAGAATCCGCCGGTAACCAAGTGATCACTTCCTTTTACACTGAAAATATTATATGGTAATGTCACCGACTGCAACTTAAAGAAACTTCACCGAGGTTCAAAGGTCTAAAACAAAAATTTGAAAATTTTACGAACAGTAAGTAAAGAACTTAAAATGGAAAACTGCAAAAGATAACAAAGGTTATACTCAGATTTACAATGAAAAAAGAGTATTGTGCGATTCTTCGCCAGATTTGAGTGAAAAGCGTTGCAATGCTTTTCATTTTTGGGTCATTTTCACAATAGAAATGATTATTTTGGTAAAATAGAGTGAGGGAATGACCACAAATTATTGGTCAAGACCTTCATTAATTGGTACACAAATCTCGGAAAAAAAAATGTCCAGTCCTGCCATGTCTAAAAACCTCAGTGGAGTTCCTTTAAGCGGTGGTAACAAATTGTCATTCCTTGTACAAGAATAAAGTATCTCTATATCCGTAGGTTTAATATGAGAATTTATCGTGTGGTTTTTAATATTCATTTTACGAAGTTCATGTTGTATTTTTGTCAACATCCGCGTTTTTATTTATGGCTGCTGTAAATAAATACTACTGCTAAACGAACGCAGAGATAAAATGCTCGCCTTGTAGGCAAGCAATTGCAGGTTCGATACTCAGTTTTGTATACTTACCTTTTTTAAGGTTTTCCCCCCAACCTATTTTGCTCAAATAATTTCGACGTATGAATCAGAAATGGATGACGGAAAGGCTCGCAGGGTTAACTTATTAGTTATTAGTGTGGAAAAGAGAAAGGCATAAACGGAGGTATATTGTTGTAGCACGTGCGTGACTGAATATTAGATGCTGAATATAGCTGACTGCAATGACAGACACGTAATTTTATTATACAGTAAAAAAAAAAAGAAACTACACAAACGTATACATTTCTTGCCCTGTGTATACTCTTACTTCCACGAAAAAAACATGCTAGTTAAGTATTTTGAGTTTAAAATATTCATAAAAGTATTTGAACATGTTTTCTATGATGCATTAATTTTTGAGACTTAGGTCTAATCGAGCGTTAACTAACGGAAAGCAGTTCCAAGTATCAACGTCAAAAGAAAAGGAAGATAAAGACAGTAACGCGGTTTTTGAAGCGACTTTCTTCTGCGCTAAATCAAAATATAAATAATAATCGCATAATGCTTTTATTAAAGGCACAGTATACCTCAGATATGATATCATTTTTATTTCTCATTTTGTATGGAAGTCACCTTACGACGCATTACCGCACGTTCAGCGCTAGTTCTTCAGTTGTTAAACATCTAAAATGGTCTTAATCCCGGATCAAAACATTATTAAACTAGAAAGAGAAAAGTGACGTTAGATTTTCTATGTAACAGAAAATAGCATATGAGCGCATAGTGCAATTAGTTGGACTAATATGTATATCACTGAACATATCAGAAATTTGCTGTGAGAAGTTACATATTACTACCGTTGTTTGGTTCTATACCAATACGTTTCTATTCTGCTCCTCGAGTAACTGTCAACTTTTCCTTCAGAGGCTGTCATTGCATAAACATGGGCCTTAATCAAACTATCTTGTTATAGCTCTCCTCAGCAAAAGCTTAATGTCATTGAATACTAAGTTTAATACTTTACATAGAACCTGAAGCGTATTAAGACAAATGCAGGTTGGAACTTTAGTTTAGTTTGTACAATGCATCTGACATTTCAAAATATATGCACCACATCGAGTTTACAGGGCTTTTCTGTATTACAAGTCAGAAAAATTAGACTTTTTGGTAATCATTAGTTGCATCAGCAACTACCAAAACAATGTATTACCTTATCTCCTAACGTTAAATAAAGGTGGAAGGCTGTCATTCTAATGGGGACACAAGAAAATTAAAGGCAAATGATTTTCAATGTTTGTGGCAGTTACAACTTTGCCAGATGACTTTAAAAACAATAGGGTTCAGTCTGGATTCATTTAATCAACAGGTCTGAAAGATGGTATTGATTTATTCAGAGAAATATACATAAATACATACATTGTACTACATATGTATATTAACAGAATAATATACATAAAGAAGTATGTTTTATGCTATGTTAATTTCAATTTAAGATCACAATGACCTTGACCTAGATTGCAAACTGTAAGACACCTCTATGTATTTTTTTGAACCCTTTCTCAATCTATCAGATTTTAAATTTTAATTCTGAACAGTAGGTATCAGGTACTTAATCACAGAATAAAAACAAGAATTGGGTTTTACAGAATACGTGAGAATTTTTCTTTTAAAAATTTACAGATATTTAATCAATTGCTAAATTGTGTTCACAACCGCTCCCCCATCGCAAATTAAAGTTAAGTTTCTCTTACCATTTTTGTTCACATCTTCATTTACTTTTTTTTAAACAATGAATTCACTGAAAAAGGGGCATACCACAAAAATATTGTTGTCAGAATTATCCCTGTGTCTTGTCATGATAATCAAGTATTCCAAGTTTCATGTTAATACCTTTTTAAATATTTAAATAAGGGACTATATTAAAGTTTTCGCACAATGACAATGACTTAAACAGCACAGCTGTGATCTTACAAGCTCAACTTTTTCTTTGAAACAGACAATCTTAATATATATATATATATACTGCTATAATTCATCATGAGTCAGCAGTTTTTAACCAAACAGTTTTATAATTTTTATCTTCACTTCTTCCTCTTCTTCAGTCGTTTCATATGTTTGTATGGACCTTTACCATGTCTCTTAGCTTCTTGAACCTCTTCATACTTTCTCTTGTTAAACCTGCAAAGATGGTACATATACAATTTAACCATATGCTGGATTTTCTTCGGGACTTTTGAATATTTGCAAATATGTTTATCCACATGGCATTGAAAAAAATGCAAAGAAATAGGCTTTTAACCCTAACCTCGTGTAACTTTATTCATAACCTTACAAATCAAATATAGTATCACATTATTAGTGTGTTTATTTTTATTATATAAAATAAAAGAAGAATTACCAAACAAAATCCTAGTAAGGAAATATAATATATAAGGGCAAACTTTATACCTTTGTATCCTCTTTGTCTACATAAGATAAAAGACAATAAGTATAGGACAAGAAATGCTGAAAGCATTCTTTCACACTGGTAGTATAGAACCTCATAAAGCATGACATGAAACAATCGGACCACTAAAACTTTGTTAGCATACTTACTTTCTAAATTCAGCATCAGCTAATAGTTCTTCCACCACGGTTGACTTTCTCTGTTTCTTAGGAATTCTTGAACTGTAGAAATCTGTTGCATCTTCAACTACTTCTCCAAACTGTTCATAATCAAATAGAAAAAAAAACAAACATGTTAGGAATGTCTTACTTTGAAAGTTCATGACAATCTCTTTTTTTCAATATACCTTTTTATGTAATTATTAAAATAGCACAAACATGTTTATTATAAAAGGCGTGGTACCCTTTTATTTATTTTAAGTAAATTGTGATGTCATTTAAAAAAAAGATATCCTATTTGTTATTTTGCTAATTTATTTTTCAATGCTCTTTGATATAAGTATAAAGATTATCAATTTAAGCTTCATTGTAATGAAAGCTTTCAGCTCATATAAACAACTCTTCAATCTGCTTCCTGTATCTGACCAGTATCAATTAGGGTCAGAGTAGTAAACATATTGCTAAATTTTAATGAACACTATGTTTCCCAGTGGGAGATATAATTATTGTGACAATGAAACATAACCCCTGTGTCCTCTAAAGCCCCAGTCACACTAGAGCTTACGACCAGTGAAGACCAGTTCACGATCACCAGTGACCTCTGGTCGCGGACAATCTTTAAAACGTCTTACGACGGTCATCGGTGATCTTTGGCAGTCGCAGGTTATCTTATTTAGGTCCCACGACCAATTTCAGTCGTAGAGAGGTTTTTGAGCTTGCACAAAAACCTCCTTGCGATCAAACAGGTCGCTAGTGATCTTATAAGGTCTTAAGGCTGTCGCACGATGGTCGTTCGGAAGTGCGACAATCTTACGACAGTCTTTACAAATTGCCACTAGTCACTGATAATCCTAAGTAGTCTTTAGTAATCGTGTGATGGTCGTACGACAAGTTGTAGGTGATCGCATGTTATGACACGGGCAGTCGTAAGTAATCCCAGGCAATCTTGAGACCATCGTACGTTTACTTATGACCTGTCGTACGATTGTCAATGATGACTTGTCTTACGATACTCGCAAACATAAATTTATCTGTGCAAAAATGGTTTTGGTCGCAGACAATCGCTGATGATCGTCAGTTTTACAAGTCGCCGGTGGTCGCAAGTAATCGTAAGCTCTAGTGTGACTGGGGTTTTAGTGAACAATATCTAAAGAAATGTTCTGAAGATGACTCTGTGAAATGGCAATTCAGCAAATTTTAAAAAGCCACAATAATTATTTGTGAAATGTTAAAATGCAGAAAACAAAAAATTATAATGAATAAAACTTGGAATTCAGTAGTTTAGAATTAAAATAACAAATTTGAAATTAATTGAACAAATAACAATTGATCATCTAGAGGATATTATTGTTATAAATTGTTAAAAGACAAAGTACCTGTCAACAGACAAAGGGGATATAAGTAATTACCCTGCAATAAACATTCTTATCAGACTTATCTGCCAGTCAACAAATATTTCAAATTTGAAGTGAATACCTTTAGTGGTTTTTGAGAAAAAAAGTAGTCTAACAAGGGAACTAATAAAGCAAATAAGGCTTTCAGGATTATCTCCCCCCCTACTCATGCATTTGATATTAGATGGTGAACTCCAAGTTTAAATTGAATATCTTTGATACATTTTGAGAAATGTACCTCAACAAACAAGAGCACGGCAAAGGCAAAGATATATACACTCAAATGTAAATTTGTTTGAGTAATCAAAAATAATCTTTCATTTCATCATTTCAATAATGGTAGAGATCCAATCCAGAAATTTGTCTGAAAAATGTTTTTATCTTAATAATCCATGTTATTTATAAGACCTCTGAGGTGGGGAAAAATGAAACTTAACAAAAAGGTTAACCAGGGCTTAAAATCTAAGTTGAAAAAGGGGCACAACTTTGAAAAGTAATAATTTAAAGATAATCTGCTCTTTGGAAATGGTGTCCTTTCATGACAATTAAAATTTATAGCAAGTTTGAGGTAAATAGCTTTTAAAGTTTCTAAGAAAATGAAAGTTATGTATGAAAATGTAAACGAAAGTCGGCGTGCCCATCAGGGGCAAGTGGTTGTTTCCTTGAGCAAGAAACTTTACACTCATTACTCTGTTACATCTGTACTGGTTGGTTCCAGGAATGGATTCAAGAGTGTGTCTATAAGCTTATTGCTTCCCACACAATCGAACTAAAATAAATTCTGTATAAACAAAAGTCGTTTCTGACAAGAGGGTCAGAAGAATAGCTCCCTATAATATTATATCTACGAAAAGTGGAGGTAATAAGTGAAAATCATGCTTACCTGGAAGTATTTGGGTACTGCCTTAAGATCATGTGACTTATAGAAACGTTTAGGATCAAGCACTTTTCTCATCTGTAACACTGCAAGATCGTACTTTCTCTCCTCAGTTAACTCTGTTGCCGGCATGTTGAACCATTTACTTCCCTTTGTTTTCTCTCGTTCAAGCTGTAAATATAAATATTCCAACCCATTCACCTAATTATTCAGTATTGGTAACTTAAGACATGAAGACCAAAGAAGAAGCATACATTTACTTTCACCAGTTAATGACATTGAGTCTTCACAATTATCATCTTAAGCACATACTGTCTTTAAGGTGATTATCACAATATAGTTATATATATATAATTTTTAGTTGGGTTTTACATTGCATTAACACAGTAGAAGTAATATGGTGGCTTCCAACTTCACTAATGTGGAGGAAGACCTCAGGTGCACATCGGGCACAAAGTAGAACCACCAGCATTCTGTAAGCTAGCTGAATTGCTTACTTTACATGAAAGAATCCAAAGTCCCTGTCAGGATTCAAACCCACAGTGGTGAGGGGCAAGCGGTTTGAAGTCAACCACTTTAACCACATGGCCACCTCTATTATCATAAAATTATGGTTTGAAGTAACACTAAATCCAGTGTCATCCCATAAAAATCATATATATGATATAATATAAATAGTAGTAGTGCAACAATATACCAGTACCATAGGATGAAGCTTATTATGGAATTCTTGTTTTATATGATCATAAATTTTGACTATTTCAAGCATTGTAATCCTTAACATGTACACACAACTATATTTTCTATTAAATGATAAAGACTTTAAATGTTTGACTAATATAATTATAAACATTAATCTTTTGAGCATTTTTAAATAAAGGTGTTTGTATTTATAGTCTGTTGACATTCTAACATTTTGAAAGTGACTTGGCTTTTTATTTTTAGTTTTTGTTGTTTTCAAAAGCTATCAATGTAATTTGCTTAACTGTTTCAACAATGCAGGTTCTGCTTTTTAAAGTACATTTGTACTCCTTATAAATGACAATGCCAAATTGGCACCAATGTTTCAACACTTGAAGGCACAAAAACTGCATGCTTGACATAATATATAAACTCAACAAGACTTTCATCACATGACAGCGCTTGTTTTCCATTGTTACATTTCATGCCAAAGGGCAAAACAAGTTTATTTTCATTTTGGTAACAATGTTTTGACTTTATTTAACTAAATTTTATGTACTATGTATATGGTAACTCATATAATTATGTACCTGTCTTGACTTATCAATATGACTGCAAAGTAAATCTATGTGCAAACAGATGTGGGACTAAATATACTGAAACTTTTATGTTTGTATGCCAATAATTATGAAAAATAAAATGAAGAAATTAAAATTAAAAACACCAACCCGTCTTTCTTTCTTTTGTTGTCGTACACTAACATGTGTGGTCTGTATAGTATTCTGTTTCTCATAATCATCCGATATGACACTCTTCTTCATTATCTTAAATATAAAACATATATTATACAGTCAAAACTGTCTAATGTGACCGTCAACAGACTTTTCTATAAACAGTCACATAAGACAGGGGGTCTCTTAATACAGGATTACTGTCAAACATCCAAATATTATCAAAGATGTTCAATAATACTTATAGAGCATAAAACATGTAGTGTTAAAACATTTATTTATGGTAAGAGCAGTAAAAGTGAGTAGTGTTTAAAATTGTATACATGTACAATGTAATTGAATATTTGATTGTTGAATGTATACTTAAACAATTAGTGCCTATTAAACTTAAGTCTTAACTATTGAAATTATATCTGAATAATATAAAAAATTCTTTGTTTCTGACATTATTTTAACCAGACAAAAAGTAAGAACAGATTTATCTGTCATAGCATTGTTGACCATATAAATCATAGTCGCTTATCACTAACACAATGACTGGCTTAATACAGTGCAAGCTTATAGCTAAAATGGTTGGGCTAACTCAAACATGGTCACATAAGACAGGAAGTCACTGAATACAGTGGGACACTATAGAAATTTGTGTGACATTAACTCTGTTTTGCCAAAAAGTTTTAATTTCTTTTCCGTTTGTTTCAAAGATACAGACTTGACATGAAACTGAAAAGTCTTTTCATATGTAACTCTATATCAATCAGGTAATCCCATGGGCGTGGCCAAATTTTATCTCAGGAAGACCGTACTTGTGTTCTGCATATTGTCACAATTTTTTAATTTCTTTCTATAGGTTCAAATGATACAGAGCAAACACAAAATTTTGACATGGATACAAAATGACTAAGTGTGATCTTCACATTGACCTGAGAAAGGTCAAACCTGCACTCTGCACATGGTCTCATTATAGTTAGTATTTCCGCCAAGAAGTTTCCAGTTTAAAAGATACAAAACGTACACGAAACCTGCTAACAGATGGACGAACGGTTGAGAAAACACATTTTGGGTACTTCTTTTGTTTAAAAGTACCAATAAGACTATAAAGATACCCAACGAAATGAGTAGAATTTACTGTTACCTATTGTTCTAAGTATCAAACAAGCATCCATTTGCTTGGTTTTCCAAACGGATGACCAGGTGCATAACATTATAAGCTAAAAAATTTTCAGGGGTATAATTAAGGAATACCAATTTGAACACCTGCAGAACTGAAGAAAAAAATTTACCTCCGGTTCTGCGTGCCTTTGTTGAACTTCATTGCCTTTTTTATGAGACTTTACTTTACCAAGTGGGTTGACATCAACATACACATCTGTGAGGGCTACATCAGCATTCAGGGTGCTGGACAATATTCTAAAATCAATCAATTTCATCATGATTACTATATAAAAAATTACTACAACACATTGTTGAAGCAGTCAAATGAAGCTGGGCATAATAAAAATAATTATAATAATTATTAAGGAACCATGACCTTTGACTTACATTGAACTGGAAGTGAAACAAGAATTATCTTGAAAAAAAAACATAACAAAACTTGTCATATATTCTCAGTAAGCCCAATTATTTCAAAAAGCCAATGGTTGTAATTAAGAGTGTCAGTTGCCTCCCCGATTTTATTACCCCCCGACCCCACATGAAGCTGGAGGAGATTCTTAGAAATACACACAAATGTCTGTAAGAAGTAGTTGCAATGCATGGTTAGAGACGTGGTCTTTATACTGATCATTTTTTCTCAATGAATAAAGAAGGCAAATATTTTGTACTTTTGAAAAAAGCCCTTAATAGCGTTGTGGTCCTATTTATGGCATGGATGTTAGATGGTATTTTACTGTATTATATTAAATATTTTTTTATTATTACAAGATTGTAATTCATCGGCTATTTCAACAGGCAACAATAAAACTAATTATCACCCTACAACCTTATAAATCTCACAATTAAGGTGTTGACTGGATTAAAATACCTAAGAAAGGTGTTAAAAGTCTGAAGTTTTCTTGACAGATAAACATATTCAACATCAAACATTTTTATGTACATTGCAATGATTAAGAAATCTCTGATGATTACATCTTGTTTCACAATTTGATAATTGTTTAGAAATTGTATTATATACAAAAATATTTTGCCTACACAATTTCCAATGATGTGTTCAATAAAATTCCTTTATAAAATATGAAAATGAATAGATAATAGATAATATTTCATTCATATTTCAAATTATTGGGAGAACTGTCAGATGAGGAAACAGTTTGGGGCAACACTGTGAGGAGGAGGAACTGGTAAGGGAAAGAATAGTCTGTCTGACATTAATGGAAAAAAAAAAAAATATTTTTTTATCAATCAGTTCCACATTTGAAGATCTGTCTTTCCATAAGGTGGGTATGCAGTGAGCAGAAATGTAGGAACTCCACCAAGGTTTTTTTGACATGAGGAGACTGAAAATATTTTTTCAAGATAAATGCACAATTTGATGTAGGTTTAGACCTCTTATCTTAAATGTGCAAAATTTCAAATCATTCACGGGTGAAGCACTTTGTTTTTCCAGAACAATTATTCAAATTGTAAAAAATGACCCAAAATGGAAAGCGTTTAAACGCTTTTCACTCAAGTCGTGCTACAAAAGCAAAAAATAAGATTCTCAATTCATTTCAAAGTATATTTCTTAACTACAGGGCTCATCCTGGGGGGAAATTTTAGGGAGAAGTGACTTCCTCGCGAAAATTAGGGAGAAGGGAAACCACCCAATGTGTATGCATTAACATGCAAGGCTATACATCCTTTAATTATAATATAAACACAATTAACATCACTTATAATATTTCTCCAGTTTATTAATTAATAGTAGATTAATTAATAGTAGATCTGGCAATGGCATCTAAATGTTTTTGAGCTGCAAATATGAATAAAAACAAATTATTTTTGATATCTATTTATCAGCTATTTATAAGCTTTCTCTAAATATGTGTTTATAAATTTTCATGTAGATTTGTTGATAATAATGTGTAAGAAAAGATATGATGAAAAAATCAATTTTATATTTGTTACTTTCCTCAATGTTAGTAGAAGATGAAGTAACTGTTGCATTGGATATTGATTAATAAAATCTGCTCTATTCTTTTATGATAACAGAATTTTCTTTTAATATCCTGTTTTGTTTTTTTTTAATGCGTTTAATTAAGGTTGCCGCCGGAAAGCCCATATGGGTGACCGTACACTCAAGTCGGGTCATCCTAAAGCGTCCCGCCGAGATTTTTCATCGATTTTTTTCCAGCTTTATTGGTGGAGGAAGACCCCAGGTGCCCCTCCGGGCATTATTTCAGGCACGAGCGGGCACCTGGGTAGAACCACCGACCTTCCGTAAGCCAGCTGGATGGCTTCCTCACATGAAAGATTTCGACCCGAGTGAGGATCGAACCCACAGTGGTGAGGGACCTGTGATCTCAAGTCAGCGACTTTAACCACTCGGCCACGGAGGCCCCTTAATATCCTGTTTGTTGTAATGTCACATTTATATGCATATAATTATGCTTATAAAACAATTTTCAAACAGCGAGGAATATGTAAAATATGTACTGCAAACATTTGTGCACATTATATTTGATCACTAAAATTATATACATTCATTTCTTATTGAAAAATTTTGACTGAGAAATTATAGAAAATAAATTTCTAATTATCTCCCTTTATTTTCATGAAATGTTAAATTCGTTAATATCTTTATAAATAATGCTTTTTGAAATTTGTTTAAACATATTTATTCAACAAAACATTTAACAAGTGAACAATATTTACAAAGTACATTTTGGGATTGGGCAGAAAGCTATAAAGCTTATAAATGTCCTCTCCCAAATTATTTTTAATTGACTAACAGTTTTGTGATAGCCGTGAAAAAATCCATTGCACATCGCCTTTACTCGGGTTAAAAACCAGCATCGAAGTGCATCGTGTATATCAATTAGGGAAGATTGCACATGTTAGATAATCGGGAAAAAACAATCTATAATTATCGCCAAATCTC